GCGATCTTTAGTGGATTGTAAGCCAATTTACTGCATAACTTTCCTTCTCGATTAAACGATTAAATGGATAATCGAGACTATGCTGTTTATCATACTGACTTTAGTAATGATGACCGAGGCTTATGGGAATTTTAGTCGCTTAGTTCTCGGTTCATAGTGGATCAATTTGAATTAAATTTTCACCAAATTGCCTTTACATTATCTAGTTTTTAACTATTATAGTGAGAACTGCCAACTTGTTACCAAATCTCCCATAATGTATCTTTAAATTTAATTAAATTACCAAAATCAAATAGATCCAGTGATTTTATGTAAGAAGTCAACAGAACTGACAAACAGGCTTGACAGTACTCAAGTCGGTCTCTAATGCTTGTTGTAAAACTTTTTAAAAGCGATTGCCCACATGTACATGTACGTATGTCATTCAATCATTATTTAGTTTTCCTGGGTTATTCATTTCTTTTTGGCTAATATAAACTAAGGATCAACAGAAACTACCATAAAATATATTTTCAGAAGAAAAATCACAATGATCACAACCATTCTTTGCCAGTATGAAATGTTCATTATTTTTGGCATTAGGGTTAAACATCATGAAAAACTATGTTGAAAGTGTAAAACTATAATGAAGCTGTCCCAGGACGCCTGTGGGTATTAGGGATTCAAAGTAATGCATATGTGAACTAAGATCCTTTTGCGACAAAATCAAGTGCATTTCAGTGCAAGCTGCTACACAATGTGAGCAATTAATTAGCATGGAACTCATGCTAGAACCTTGAAAGGTGGTTGCCAGGTTATTGAAATTCTACAAGGTGACTCATGGGTTTTCTGCAGGTTCTATGGTTTTCTTCCCATTACTAAAGAATTATTTATATTAAACGGAACCATAGATTAGTCCCGAAATGACATAGTTTGTGTCCGGTTGATGTTAAACTCCTTACCTTCATCCCTCTCCTGGACATTCACAGGCTGATTGACCGCACTGAATTATTCCAAACATTACAGAAAACTAGAAATAGAACAAGAAATTTAATTCAGAAACTCAACAAATGTTTTAAGAACATTGTAAAAGTAAAAGGAAATTACAACTAGTATAGATCTTTTTGTGCGTAGGAACTTGGAATATTTAATTGTACAATAGATTTTTATTTTACTGATGTTGATTTCAAACACAGGTAACTTTTTGATAACCATAATTAAGTAGTTTGTTCAGTCTTTGTTTGTTTTTTTTTTAGCATGGCTCATCTCAAGAGAGTAGATAAGAACTACATTGTTAAGAATGTCATTCCTCATCAGTGCTTATATTAAACTCCAAAGATGGAATTTTTTCAATCTAGAATTCTCATTACATAGAAATTGGCATTTAGATGAAGAAAAAAAAATCAACAAAATCCAATTTGATGCCAGAGTTAAAAGAATAATAACATAGTGCACCTTAAAGGACCTTCAGCTGATAGAATGTACTGTCTACTACCACACATAGTACCGTTGTTACGGTACTCAATTTTCAAATAAAATCTTATGAAGAATTTCAGATTTTCCGGCGTGGTTCCCCTTTGTCAGTGGTGCCAGATGGAGGGCCTGACAAGGACAGCTGTAGAGTCGTTCGGATGGGACAAAAAACCAAGGTCCTGTGTACATATTGGCGTGCACGTAAAAGATCCCTTGACAGTTGGAATTCGATATAAGAATAGGCCGTAGTGCCGCTGTCCGAGCAAAATTTCTCTCATAGTACACTGTATAGCATATGCGGTCTTCATTAGCAGAGTTCGGAGCAGAACAGTAAGACGTTAAACCCCATTTTATTTCTTTTCATTTATGAAGAATTCTAATCCACACCTGTGATATTGCAGTGCCATAGTGACATACTACAATATCGTCTACAGTATATTATATCTGAATTTCGAAACATTTGACATTTTCAGTTAAACATTATTATTGATTCGGCATTAAAAGAGAAGACAGAAGTACCAATAGTGGGAGGGTCGTGGGGCAACATACTGTACAAATGTTCTGTCACCTCCCACAAAACATGCAGAATTGACAGACAGATTTTGAGATTCTATACCATTTCTGATCCACTTTTTGACAAGAATTTGCTCCCAGCAATGACCTCAAAGGAACGGAAATTGACTTAAATTTTCAAAATATTCCCCCTTCGGGTTGCTCGAGCCTATGGCACGCGGAGGATATTACCGGCAGGGCAGTGCTTTTGGTCTCAAAATGACCAAAGTATTGTGTTCACAGTTCACGGGTCTACAGATATATCAATGGCTTATCATATTATCATTACAGTCTTACTGTATATTTTTAAATGCAAGATTGTATGTAAAATGTGTGTTAATCTTTTGCAAACAAAAAAACTTATTTCTTGATGTCAAACAAAAACAAATTTCCTTGTTGATGTCCATGTTCATCGGGATTTTCCAGTGTGGTTTCCCTTTGTCAGTGGTGCCGGATGGAGGGCCTGACAAGGACAGCTGTCTAGTCGTTCGGATGGGACGAAAACCAAGGTCCTGTGTATATATTGGCATGCACATAAAAAAATCCCTTGGCAGTTGGATTTCGATACAAGAGTAAGCCATAGTGCCGCTGCTCGGGTAAAATTTCCCTCATAGTACACTGTATGGCGTATCCCCATCTTCATTAGCCCAGTAGGAGTAGAACGGTAAACCCCATTTCATTTCGTTTGTTGATGTCAAACAAAAACAAATTTCCTTGTTCATGGCAACCAAAATCAATTCACCTTGTAATGTTAGTACCAAGGGAGACAAATCTAAATATGCTAACTTTGCCTGTAGATTTACAAAGATGGAGACGAGGCTTTATGCATCATAGCATTTCAAATTTAGAAGGAAAGTTGTATTATTTATTGAAGAAATTCTTTTAATTCAGATACCGTAGCCCTTTCCAGCAAAAAAAGTAGCCATTGTTTGCACATTGTTTTTTAAGATAATGAGACTGAAGAAACCCCAAGTCAACCTCGAGCTCAAAATCATTAAAAAATGTAGTCTAATTTGCTTATTTCCCTACGATGCAACATATTTGTTCTTGTTAATAATTTTTAAGCTGATTTAATACATTTGTTTTGTGCCGTCCATTTAGAGTTATCTAGTGGCACAGGCTGGAACCATTGTAATCCTTCATTTTGCAGAATTCTAAGTACTGGTAATGTGCTGAAAATTATCTTATTTATGTATTTATGCCAATTTCATATGATAAAAAAATAAAATAGATGTTATCTTTTTGTTATTTTATGTATTTAGAATATTTGTAAGCAGTGTTAGGCCGCCATCTTTGATTGCAGGTTAACTAGTTTTGTTAATTTATTAAAGATAGGTATTTTATTAGAATGAATGTAAAGATTGTTAATTATCTTAATGTGATATTATTATTATCTTTAATTCCATCCATGTTTTAATGTAAATTAATAGTTGTCATTTACTGATATAGGGCCTAACATGATTAGACACCTTGGCCAATTTATTTGGATACTTTTGGATGACAAAATGACAAAATTTATTGTTTTTCTTTATTTGGCAACTAATTTGCATAAATTAGCATATTTGACCCCCTTCCCTTAATGAGATTCATTGGGATTTTTAATATGTTGTTTAGGGGGTCATTTCGGAATGAATGCAGGTGGAATCGTTTCTTTTGCAGTTTGTGATGGGTCCATCTGCTAATTTGACTGGCCTAATAGTTATACATGTTATACTTGGCATGCTCAGCCTTATATAATCTTTGGAGAGTCGAGTAAAGAGATGAGAATCAATATTCAAGTTAGTGGGAAAATATTTGGTGGTCTGTCTTCAACCGAAGATTTCATTAGTAACATCTGACAGTTTTATGGAGTCAAAAGCCTAATACCATTATAGTATTTATAATTAAATAACTATTTAGGGATTCAATTAAATATTGAGGATTACACGTGATAAGTAACAATATAACATGCACACTGGTAACCTGTCTATTTGATCCTCTGTGTGCCACAAGTTTCCAAACACATGGCTAATGATGAAACAGGAGTCATGGAAGAGTTGTCTCCCCTTAATCACAACCAGCATTTCTTTTGGGGGGTTTGATGGCTGAATGGTTAGCGTGCGCGCTCTGTCTCATTAAGTCTGTCATTGAGTCGACTGGCGTGGTTTCGAATCCCCGGTTGTACGTGGCAAGGAGAAGGGTCGCCTGTCCAACCTCGTGGGTTTTCTCCGGGTCCTCCGGTTTCCTCCCACTGCTAAAGACTCCTACACGCAAGCGAATTATGTAAATAAAATTAAACCATATGTTAGTCCCGAAATGACCTAGTTTGTGTCGAGTGGACATTAAACCCCATTTCTCTCTCTCTCTTTTATAACACGTCTTAATCAATATAGCTAAAATACCATCTAATATCACAATTAATCCTTATCAACAAACAACCTAGATAGAATTTTCTATGTCACAGGTGCCCTTGCATCAACAGTGAAAAGGGGGTATATTCTGCTCATTGAGAGCCCTGGTTGCAGCCCAGTCAGCCTATCCTTCCGGTTGCAACCCAGTCAGCCTCCCCCCCCCCCCATTTAACCAGGCCCTTGTAAAGTCCGTATATAGTAGCCTACATTATACATGCACTAAAGTCATAATCCTGGAAAATGTTTTACCCATATGTCTGTGATCACATTTTTAATTTTAGAGCAGAACTGGGGATTATTTCACAAAACATTGTGCACTGACTACACTGAACATGTACTGATGATGAACCTTTTGCCATATGAATTTACCTTTTGTATATTTCACTTCAGGAAAATTGAAATACAAATGTTATTAGCGTAGTAGCTCCACACCACCATGTATAACTTGAAACTGATCATATGTTGTAAATTAATTTTCCATGAAAGCAGTAAAGAAATTATATTTTCTTTCTGGCACAAGATGCTTATGTCTCTTCAAGCCAACAATTTTTCTGGTATTCAGGATTCCTTCAGATGTTATTAATACAGATAAGAATACTGCCGTCATTTCAGATAAAATCTATATAATTTATTAGTCAAATTATTTTACAGTCTTCAAGCTTCTACGTACAAATAACTCAAATATGTACAGCATCTTAAATGTTTTCTATAGTTGATTATTGACTAATATGAATATAAAAAATGTACATGCTTTGGATATTTTTGCTTGATGTTAGTAAAAACACAGAAGGTTAAGAAAGATAGATAACAATTATTTTTACCCTCATCAAAATGTTTACATAATATTAATTTGTACTAATATTTGACTGGGTTGGGACTACAATGATCCTTGTAATGATGTTGAATCAGAAATCAGTTCTATTACTATGTTCATCCATGTTGATTTTCAAGAGAAAAGAGTACTTGCTATAAGACTATTTTCTTCCTTGATAGGATGAATGTTGTTTCCTGCTTCATAATCAGAATCCTTTTCTATCAGAGTTTGTTTTCTGCTGCTCTATTTGGAAAGTTCTCTTTCCTTTTCAGACCAGCTCGGTCTGCCATGGAATTATACATGCCATGTCTGGTTATTTACATTTACAATGGAAGGTATATACAAAAGAGTTGGTTTGAAACATTCTTTATGTAGCTTTATTTTGGTATTCTGCTATTTTCAATGATAATTTCAGTTCAGGGTTTCAAATTAATAATTCAAATGATGTATTTTTTCAACGGCTATTATATTACTTAATGTTTAATGCTAATGACAAAATGAATTTTCCATAAAATTTTCCATGAGTTTTGTTTGAATACCAGTTGATAATGAATGAATATCTTTCATGATAGTAAAATGAAGCTAGATTTTTAATAACTAATGAATCACTGATTCTTCTTTTGTTTCCAGAAAGACAATTGTGAGTAATTATAGATTAGAAGAGTATGATGATCAACAGTAAATCAAGGTGAGTCTTACAATGGTATCATTAAATATAAACACATAAAATAAATATGATTGAAATGAGTCACTTTTAATTACGACCATGGTTTCGTATTATCAGGTCTTACTATTACTGTCAATGACATTTTACCCCAGATATCACATAAAACATACAATTATATTTGGGGAAATGGATACACTGAAATTAAAACATCAGGTTTTTATCCAATTGTTTTATGTTTTACAACAATGGGTTTTTGACATCGTGAAATTACAATTTTTCTGAATACTCATGCACAGACATAGAAATAATGTACATTTACAAAAAAATAATCTGTAAACTTTCAGCTGTTTTATGATTTTTGCTATTTTATTGCAAAAGAGCTGAAAATTGTTGCCCTATATTTTTTCCGGAAATAGGTAATATTTAATAGCATAAAAGGCAATCTGATTAAAATACAGATCTATATTTTTTTTTTTTTTTATACTTGATGGCCTACACTACATGAAGATCTGACCAGTTGTTGTGATAGGTGACGTCAGAGGTCATACAAGTGGGTTTTGACCCTATGACGTCAGACATTTGATTAACCAATCCGCATTGATGTTACTAGTGGATTACCCACAGTTCCATGCAAACACCCCTAAAGCTCGCCGTAACAGACTGTTTCATTGGCTAATACCTCACACTATTCAGAACACGTCAATGATAACAACTCTTCCAGATCCTAGTGTAGTAAAGGCAAGTAAAACAAAATTTTGAACTATAAAAATGAAACGAAATAGGATCTGTGTTTCAATCAGATTGCATGAAAGGTGTTTTCCATTTTAATTTGTCTTTTAACTTGAGGGGGCGGAGTTGGATGGCCAAATGGTTAGCACAGCACGTCATTGAATCAACTGGCATGGTTTCGATTCCCCGGTTATACGTGACAAGGAATATTATGATAGACACATTTAGTTCAAAGATCTTTTTGGTACAGGTAATTTTCTGTCAGCAGTATACATAAAAAATACCTTGCATGAAAGTACTAAGGAAATTTGGTTGTTGAGAGCTTTGTTTTTATTTTGTTGGGTTTTTTTTGTATATTTAAAGGAGCTAAATCGCTAACATTTGGGACCTAGAAATTGACAAAAGTGGGTGGCAACGCATATAATACTGTAATATGATGTATATAAACTGATTTACATTCAATGGTTTCCGTTTTTACTCCAATTTCAAATCAGTTATGTTCGGCGAAATAAGCCAGCAGTCTCAAGCGAGTGCAAATTTCTAGAGTCTGGTTATTCCAGTCTACATACGCCGTTTGATTTGGTGCAATGTGTCTAGCCTCGTTCCTCGAGTCTCTTGATACAACTGGAACTGAAGCGCATTATGGTACACGATTTGTGTACCAATGGTAAAATGTTTATTTTGTCTTAAATATTGGATATCAAAAGCCCATCTTTTTCCGGTAAGATCACAACATGAATGTTGATTTAATTTGACAAATAAATCGTGTTTTCAATGTTGAAGATTTTGGATGATATTGAGTTAGAGACTTAGCTAATTTAATCTACATGTACCTACTGTTCATTCATAAGTTATACCGATATCATATGAGAGAATCATTAAATTTATCATTACTATGAGTTATGCAATGACTGATATCTTTTACATTTTGAAATCATATAATAGCTTTGTATTAAGGGCACTTATATTTATCTAATGTTGTGTGTTAAAGTTATACAATCTATTGCAAAGCATATTTTGTACTTATTATGATAAAAGCTTCTATATTGCACAAATATAATGTTTTTTGGGTATGGCTTACTAATACATATAAGTAATTGTTTTTACAGTGATAATTAACTATTTGGATAGAATTACATGTTAAAGGGTGCTTAAATATCTTAAAAGTCAAAATACTCATGTTCATTTGAAACTGAAAAGAAGCTTTGCTATAGCTTATGTGTTACGAAGAATTGAAGAATAAATTAAATAACTATTAAATGGTTTGAAATTATTTGTATAGTAGTTTTCATTTGAAATATTTCCATCAATGTTGTGATGTGGATGTGCATGTGTAATTTCAATATCAACATAAAAACCTGGAACCATTCTATTTCGTGTTTCTTGATGATTTGAGAAGCTGTACATGAATTTGAATTACAAGCGTTGAAATTTCAATATAAAAAACAACAAAATACATTATCAGTAAGATTGAAACACAGATCTGTCTTTTATATGTACATGTAAATTATAATATGACTACTTTCCAGTAAGGCCTTGAATAAAAGAATCTATATGCACTTATTGTATTATTTAGCCATGAAGACAGCTTACCATTGATTACATATTTTGACCAGATTCTTCAGATTCTTGAATGTAAGAGGTACTGAATTGAAGATCGGTATTTCAATCTAACAGCAGTAATAACAACAAAATTATAGACTCAAAAATATTTACAAGTTTTCCACAAAAATGAAATGGTGACTACTCATTTAACATAGTTCTTTCTTGTAATAAATCTTGTAAAAATACAATTTCTTACATTAAGAAAAAGTTAATTCTAAAAGGTCTATGGGGTAATTAACATTATATTACACTGTTATGTACAAATCAAAATAAATATATAGATGATAATTATATATATGTTCCTTTGTTCGACTGTAATCTGTAAGTATGTAAGTGTCTTATCCATATACCACACAGTTCTGTTAAGCTGCCGGTAAATTGTCTTAAAACCTTGCATTCACACAAGTTCTAACAGTCCACTAACAACTTTTTCTGAAGTGGACTCCAGCGAACACTAGTTTAACCTTTATCCATAGATCTTTTTGTTAGTACAGATTACAGTAGGTTTACTTTTGCTTGTCTAATCAAAGCACATAACAAATAGTTTATTAAGCACTTGTATGTCCTTTATTAGTAGTGCTTTGGTTAATTGTAATGCTAGGGATTGACTGTCAGTTTAAGGAAAATTACTTTCCCTTACGTCAAAGTTGTAGATTGGCACCAAAGGATGTTTATTGGTAAATGGGTCGCAGGGATTTGTTTAGTCATTCCCTATACTGCTTAACACACATAGGATAAACTAGTTCTTGGACAGAGTAGGATATAAGCCAAGACTCAAGAACTATATAGGAGTCAAAAACCAGTCACTTTTAGATGCATTAGGAGTATTTTAAACATTTACATGTAGAGTATATTAATGTTAAGTTAGATTAAAGCAAATTATATACATGCAGGTACATGTCTGGATGGAGTTGATGCTCGATATATAGCACTCGCCCTGAGTTTTAACGTTCGTTAATTTTGATAAACATGATTTAATCGAACTAATAACTTTCTTCCAATAACTTAACGATTTAGACTATACAGTTATCTACTGTTATCCCATAGATCATATCCAAACAGCATCGTCCTATTGTTTACAGTTATCTTTTCTTCTTCAAGTTAAGAATAATTCAGTTAAGAAATACACTTCCAATAAATTGGTGTCTGTTGGGCACCAATAGCAGATGCGCTGAGGTGTACATCTTTTTTTTTATGATGATGCCTTGTGTTAGGGCGATTGTTTGTTTCTGCAAGATTTTTCATGGTTCAAATTGCAAAACCATCACTGTTGGTTCCATGATCACTAACATAAACAGCACAAGTTCTGTTTATTGTGTATATTTTATTTTATTAAAAGAGTCTTAATACTTTACTCAAGGATCAGCATTCCTGTCAAGCTCCATGCAAGAATATTATTAAAATATAACAGATAAAATAACTGAATAATGTCAACACATTCACTGGTTTAAAAGTATGCCCTTGGTTGAATGTGCGAATTTGCTCTGTATCAGGAGGCCCATCTGGAAAGGTTCCTGTTGAATAGAAAAATAAAAACCAAAAATGTGAATTTCCATTAGTTCTTCTAAACTTGACATGATTGATCACATTTGTATCAAAGGTAACAGATTATAATCACATAAATCAAATACTGGTAAGATTTTTGGATGTCGTTTTCGACATGTCATATTCCTGTAAATACTCCAAACAACTTTTATGTACAGTAGTTAATCAGTTACCCATGATATAAAATTACATGTATAGTCATTTATTAAAAATGGGTTGCCATCCAAAAAATTATATACCCATGATAGCTATAATTATAATAACTGAAACAAGGGTCATAATAACTGAAACAAGGGTCATAACTCTGGAAGTAATTGGTGGAAATTCTATACCCATGAAACTTAAGATTATATTAACTGAAAGTTCATCCAGATTTTCTGGTGTGGTTCCCCCTTGTCAGTGGTACAGAACAAGAGGGCCTGGCAATGGACAACATATAGTTGTTCAGATGGGATAAAAGACTGAGGTCTGTGTACACATTGGCGTGCACCTAAAAGATCCCTTGGCAGTTAGAATTCGATATAAGAATAGGCTGTAGTGCCGCTGTCTGGGCAAAATTCTGCTCATAGCACACTGTATGACTTATGCTCGTCTTCATTAGCCCAATCAGAAGCAGAACAGTAAGACGTTAAACCCCATTTCATTTCATTTATACCAATGAACAAGATATGGATACTGACAGACCAAATGAGCCAAACAATTATAATTTATATTAGAAGCTTGTTAATGTATTATTAAGTTTCACTATAGGTCCTAGTGAATGAGTGGCAACAATATACCATCACAAATGTTAATGGATGTGTAAAAATCAGGAGGATGATTGGCTTACCACGTTTTACACTGGTTTTTCCAGCTGCAAAAAAAAAAAAAAAAAAAAAATATGTATAATATTAAAATGCATGAAGTTATAAAACTATTATAAATATATTTTATCTGGACATTCAATGGCATCTACTGGTACATGTATGCAATCCCTTTAATAGTTCACCATCGAGAACCATTAGAAATAAATTGACACAAAAATAATGTATTTTTTTTATCACCCAGTTTATGTAGATTGTCAGTACAATTTGCTAGAGAGGTTGGCTGGCCAAATGGTGTAAAGCATGTGCGTTAAATCAGAATGTCTGTCATTGACTCGAGTGGCATGGTTTCAATTTCCCACTTTTATGTGACAAGGAGTATGGTCGCCTGTCCAACCTTGTGGGTTTTCTCCAGGTCCTCTGGTTTTCTCCCACTGCTAAAGACTCCTATGCACAAGCGATTTAATGAAATAAAATTAAACCATATGTTAGTCCCAAACTGACTATGGGTGTTGTGCTTGGAGCAAGGTATGCTTACACTTTCTAGACCACCTGCTACCACTGTTGTTATGTTATTCTGAATATTTGCTAACAAACTTTCCAATATTTGCTTAAAAATCTAAAAAGACCAGAACTTTGTTGGTATCCCTTACACACCCACCAACAGCAAAGTCTGCCTTGCTGGTTACAAAACCAATACTAATGCTTGTCATATACCAAGTTTTAAAAAAATCCAACAAGGTTCTAAAAAATAACAAGACGCTAAATCATTGTAAAATCAGGGATCATACTTATGACTAAGTCTTTAAAGGAACTTTGTCCTGCATAGTATGTGTTGTCTTTCATTCAACACCAAGTGTGTGTGTGTAGGAGGGGGGAGTAAATACATAAAGAAAAAATTTCTGAATTTGATATGCCCTAGTGAACTTAACAAATCTATGAAAATCTATTTCAGCTGGAAATGATAAAATGTGGACGAATTTCTGATAAGAAATGTCTGGATTTTGATTGGGTTATGCAAATTTTGGAAAAAGACCTGTTAATAGCAGTTTGCAAGAAAATATGGATACTGGCAAATCATTGGCCAAACAATTGGAATTTGTATTAAAAGCCTATTAATGTATCATTATGTCAAACTATAGGTCCTGCCCAAAAGCATATTAATGTATTATTAAGTTTATATATATTATATATTTTTTATGTTGTTTCTTACCGCTGCCACTCACTACGTCAATTATTGGCTCAATCCGAACTATATGGGAAATTGTTTGGCGCCGTATAGGCCGGTTGGAGCTGACATGCCATTTCATTCACTCAATTATAAGTACAGTTATTGTGACCTAAAAAGTGTGACGGACGGACAGACAGACCGACGGACACAGAGTAACCCATTTTAATAATCCCCTGCTTTCTTTGAAAGGCGACTTGAAGAAATAGTGATCAAACTTCGAAAATAAAAAAGATTTGAAGAATTTGGGAAGATTAGATTTGTAAAATGAAAATACAATTATGCTTACTATTTAGCACCACAACTTTTAAACTGGCTATATGGCGTTTAGAACTGCGACACACGTAGGTACCTGCATCAGTCATATTGCTGTGTTTGATAATTAATGTACTGTTTAATGTATTTGTATCACTTGAGGGGTATTTACTGATTGACACTCGACTCTCTGTATTTGGTCGCAGTTTTAAACCATCCTTGAACCAATCCACATCCAGTGGCAAATAATCAATAGCTGAAGCTGAACATTTGAGTTTTATTTCCGATCCCTTTTCCACAAATAATGTTCCTCCCAGCTCAATACCTGTAATAATAAATATTTGTATTAATAAAGATGCTTTTGCACACGATTTGACCCAATAATCTCAAGTATACTTATAATTAAGTGAAGATTGATGTCCTTGCTTGCTTGAATGACCATTCCAGTGATCTTGTCAACGCTTTTATTGATATATACGATATGAAAAGACAATATTCTTGGTTTATTACTCCAATAACGGGGAAATCAGAGGGGACTATAGGTTTTGTCCCTGTCCGTCTGTCTGGCTGTCATTTTTGTTTTCAAGAATTTTCTTTTTATTGAACCTTGATATTATTTTATTGACGTTTAGTACATTCCTGTATATAGCAGTTACCGATCAAATTCGTATTCCATAGGATTCCTTTATTTAGTGAATTATGGCCCTTTGTTGAAATTCTCTGTGTTGGCCAAGAAAGTGCCTTGGAATTTTCCAGTTTAGCTTCTCCTTGTCACTGATGCAGTATGATTGTGCTGGCAGGGAACAGTGTCTGGTCTTGTACAACTTGGTGCTCACATAAAAGAGACCTTGAATTCAAAATAAGAGTAGCCTGTTCTACCGCTGTCTGAGCAAAACTTTCTCTATATCATACTGCATGGCAAATGCTTATCCTTGTCTTCATTAGTCTGGTGTAGGAGCAGAAAGGTAGGATGTTAAACCCCTTTGTGGACATCGAGTCAATGAAAATTTGGTTTTCTGGAAATTGTTTAGGTTACAGTTTAGGATATTTTATTAGAATTATTTATTTACAAAAAGACGTAAAATTTCAAACAAACAGGTAACATGAGCCTTTGATTTAGATTTCTTAATGTAAAGTTACACATGGTTAGACATCTAGGGCTAACCCAATTATGGTATGATTAGGGTATAATCAACTGAAATTCTTCATTCTAATTATGATAATTCACCAACAGTTTAATGAACTATTATCATTCCATTCTTGTTACGCAGTTAATTATATTTTACTACATCATCATATTCCTTGGCTGCTTATAATTACTCCCAAATGTTAATAATTTGTGTGAAAGTAATGAATTGTTAACCTAGTGATCTAAACATATGGACTCAACTATAAAACTCACCTGGTTTATTACTTTTATAAGAATCTGTAAAAAAAAGAATAGAACTTTAAATATTTATAAGGTGCTTACAGGGAAATAAGAATATTTAGTTTATTAGCATTGAATTTTGATATATTTTTTAAATGTCCAATTTACCTTCTCAACTAATAACAACTTTTTTTTTTAAATTCAAAGATGAATTAAAGTTGAGACGTACCAGAAAAATGATGGCAGTGTGAAATTAATTATGTGAACTTTATGTGCTGTTAAATTTAATCAATTTTAATAAATTAGGGGTGAATGTGCATTTTGTATAAACATGGAAACATTGGAACATTCACAACACAACATACTATTCCCACTTCTCATTTGATATGAATGTGGCATGTAATGGGTTTTTTTTTTAAAAAAAGCAAATGAATGACATCAGTGCAACTGAAATATGTCATTTCTACTACTGGTCAATTAAAAAGAAATTTGCTTTGTGTACAAATTCCAATCCAATTTACAAGTTCATAAAGCTGGAGTGATTGAATCAAATCAAGTTAAAAATTTTGAGCCATGCCTATTGTTGATACATCCAGTATTGGAACAAAACTGGGTTTATTATAACATTGGTTGAATGTACAGCAACTTGTTGATTTAAAGTGCTTAATATTCATGATCGTCTCAGGAAACAAAACATGGAGAATGGTGAAAATTTTAGAGAATTTATATACGACTGAAGCTACCATGAAATGTGTAACCGATATTACAGGTTGATTTAGTTAAACATGCATTATGCAAGAGCTAAATCTGCCTATTTCAGGTCTTTCTTTAGGCCTGAAATGTTATCTAATTTATTAATTAGACATTAATTAACTTATCCAGACCATAATCAACTCTAGATGGCAGCGCTGGCCTGCGATCTTTAGTGGATTGTAAGCCGATTTACTGCGTAACTTTCCTTCTCTATTAAACAATTAAATGGATAATCGAGACTATGCTGTTTATCGTACCGACTTGAGTAATGATGACCGAGGCTTATGGGAATTTCAGTCGCTTAGTTCTCGGTTCATAGTGGATCAATTTGAATGAAATTTTCACCAAATTGCCTTTACATTATCTAGTTTTTAACTATTATAGTGAGTACTGCCAACTCGTTACTGAATCTCCCATAATGTATCTTTAAGCATCAAATTTGCTTGATTCAATTTAATGTACAATTTAAATTTTGTAACAGAATTCAGGTTTTTTTCTTGAAATAATGATTTAGGGTACATCTAATTTTATTAATAAAATCATGATATAAGCATTAATGTTTATAAAATTATATTTTAAAATCCATATATTGTAAGTATTGAATGTGATCTGCAGATGGTTAGGTCAGAAAAAAACAAGATGTACAAGATGAAAAATCTGTGTATACTCCTGTATACGATTACTAATTTTGCAAAATTTACATAAGATAAATACAGTTGACCTTCTGGACTACCATCTGAGTATTTTTAGTTAAAATCTGATTAAAATTTTTCTTAAATGATTGTTAACTGTCTTCTTATGATTGTTTTGGTGATTTCTGAACTATAGAGGATCTAGTTTCTGGCAAATATTACCCTAGCCTGTGCAGTTGTTCTTTTAACCCCACTGCTAACTCCTGACACATGTAACACTGCATGATGAAAACTGTAGGAAAATAATAATGAATGATTCCATCCTCTATTCTGGCTATCACTAGCAAAGCCAATCATGTCAGATATAAATAATTAACCCTTTGTTGACCTTATTTCTAGGAGTTTCCATCAAATGTTATAGAACACCCAAATCTAATGTCTTTTACTTTTCTTAATGATGATATCACATTACCCTTAAAAATTACTTTCTTTTTTAATCTAATTACCCAGTAATGACAACAGAATACTTTTTGTTGTTCAGTTTAAAAAGATAGGTTGCCAGGCAACGAAACATGCCCACAGCAGCTAAGTCGTCAGAGCAACAAAAGTTGTTGCATATTTGTTCTTTTGTCGGTAATGAAACATTTAAATCTTATTAAGAGTAACAACTAATTAAACATGCATTATGCAAGAGCAAAATATGCTTATTACAATTCTTTCTTTAGGCCTGAAATGTTATCTAAATTATCAATTAGACATTAATTAACTTATCCAGACCATAATAAACTCTTGATGTCAAGGCTAGCCTTCGATGTTGGCTGGATTAGATTCCTATATGCCGCTAACGGCCACTGATAATTAAATCAGAAAAAGTGGATAATCTAGACTATGCTGTTTATATTAATGATTTTAGTAATGATGACCGAGACTATGCAAAAATTTCACCCGCTTCTTTCTCGGCTCATAGTGGATCAATTTGACTGAAATTTTCAGCAAATTACCTTTACACTATCTAGTTTTTAACTATTATAGCGAGAACTGCCATCTCTTTATCTTATCTCCCATAATGTATCTTTAAGTAATTATCAGAAAATATTAGAATTTGTTTGGCTTCTTGTTCTGTCCCATGCCCATGCTAACTTTAAGTATACAAAACATTTAATATACTTGTTCCTCTCAAGACCTTGGTATCAATTTAAAGTCAATCGAATGATCACTTTGGCCTGTAGAGCATTCACAAGATTCTTGGAAGTAATCTAGGGACATAACTCTGGCAGTAATTATAGGCTTCTCTGTCTCATGACCTTAACACTGTTTATAAATTTAAAGTCAATCAGATATTAACTTCAGCCTCTAAAGCATCCAACAGATATTTCAAAGTGATCAAGGCACATAACTCTGGGATTCTTCATCTCATGACCTTAAATACTGTATATTTATATATCTAAAGTCAATCAGATATTAACTTTAGCCTCTAGAGCTTCCACAAGATATTTCAGAGGGATCAAGGAACATAACTCTGGCAGTAATTATTGGAAATCATTGAAAATCTATTGGATTCTTCGTCTCATGACCTTCAACACTGTGTATATATTGGATATTAACTTTAGACTTTAGTGGATGCCGGACTGACGGACTGGGGCGACGACAATATATATAAAAAAAGGATTGAGATGAATATGAGCATTTATGGTGAACTATTTATTTTGTTCAGTTATAGATCCACACAGTTGATCAACTCAACTAAAATCAAAAGATTAGCTTGAGCAAAATTTTGTGTTATTGGGATCAATATGGAGATTTCTAATGCATGGTTCCTCTATTCATGTTATTACATACCATTTTATAGATTAACTTGAAGCAAAAGCTATTTTTAAGATCAAATGTAAATTGATGATCTAAAACAAAACCTACAGTCTCTCTTGGCTACTAATTTTTGATATTAGCTTAATTGACATTTATATATCTGAATATGTACATACGTTTTATTGATAAATTAAGGCATCTGTGTTGTTTTTGCGTTGATAAATGTAAATAATATGATATAAAACACAAAGTATTTATGTGTATTTTTTCTTATGTAAAATCTGAATGTTGAATATTATGAAATTGTTTTATTGTACTTGTCAATTATGCAGGAACTCCCAATCTTAAATGCTTAACCATTTGAGCACAAGGAACTAGATTTCCAAGGGACCGCGATGTGAAATGGTTAAAAGCAGATATATGCTTCATTATAGTTGGGAGTATGCAAAATTGCAACAATTCCCAACAAAAGCTTAAAGATCTTACTTCTGATCAAAATGTTTTGGAGTTTGTGTTGTGCAATGTGCAGCCCCACACATGCAGATGACTATCCCTCAGAGTTATGGAATGCCTTACTTACAATTTTAAAACCTTGAAATTTAATGGTTCATTTCAAATCTTACCTACAACATTCAATGTGATATTTCTCACTATTTCTTCTTTGGCACTTATTTGGCACTCATAGACACCAGCATGATGAATCTTAACATCTTTGATACGTAAATTCCACTCGGAACTGGGTATAGAAGTCTCTCGATGTTCCACGTAATAATCACTATCTGGCACGTAAATATAGTCACCTATTGATATTGGATGAACTTGGTCAACTTTTTTCCATATGACCTTTAAGAAACAAAAATAGGTAATTTGTAAGTTTGTGTACAAATTGAAGAGTAACTACATTTCCTAAGACAGATATTGATCCTCATCTAATGGACTGAGTGATAAAACTTGAAATTAGGTGTGAATTATGATAGGGCAAAAGGAAGATTACTTCCTATTCCATTGATTTCTAATTACCAGATTAATCTTTCATGTTCCATGTCTGCGTGTGTGCAGAACTAATGTCCATCTTATCATATGATTTCGCAACAGAACTCTTTATGATTGCTAAACAGATTTTCTTTCATCATATTGGCTATTAATGATAGATTAAATTGTTTTTATTTGTACTTTTGAAGTAATAGAGAATGATGGTTCAATTTCAGAGTATTGAAATTGTGATTTAAACAAACTAAATCCATATAGCTTGATTACATTGTGCTATATCATATGTTTTTGGCGTTAATCTTTTCGGAGAGTATATTGTGAGGCCTATGCTAGCTTTAAGTAATTAAATATTAAATTATTTTGTCATTGTTAAGCAAAACAAGACATGCATGCAAATGATTAAGATCCGTTTTCGGGTTGAGTTGACATTTTTTCAGGCTAAATATACCGATAGTTATTGATGGACAATGAATGAATCGTCTTGCTTACCACTTTTGGACCAAGATTTTGAAGAGAACATGGTAATCTGGCATTATCACCAACATCAAAAGTTACATTTCTTTCTGTTTCAACAAAGGTAGGAAGTGTGTAGGTTTGAGGTCTTGCTGCCCTTGCTGAAAATAGAACAATAAATAACATAAATAATAATGTTTTTCTTGCACACCATATATGCTTTGTTTCATATTCTGTGGATATGAACTGGCAAGACGACTAGTGGACCAGACAAACTGCTTATTTTTACTATGTATTATTCAAACGAACTAAAGCAAGGACCTTAGTAAGGACTGACCCATAATGGGGAAGGGAGTAAGGTGTTTGATCCAAGGTCACAAAGGGTGGGGGGGGGGGCTATCTCTTTCCTGTTAGATTAAAAGTACCTTAACAATTTCATTGATTCTTTCCAATAATCCTTTCTCAGGTTAGGTACCAATTTTATTTGATATTTAATCCATTAATAGCTTGCAGATTCCTGCCCTTTGGTTTGCATTGTACATGGTTTACAGTTTATGTACATATACTGTATAATTTTATCAGGAATCTAAATATCAGAGTTTATTTGTTAACAAATGGCATATGTCATGTATATTATAGATAATATGAAGCTAATCTGTGTGGGTGGAGTTTTGTCAGTATTCTCATTCATTTAGAAATTAAAGGTTTCCATGTATACGATTGCATTTCCTGGTGCAGTGCATCCATATCGGGCATGGTTTCAATTGATAATCAATAACATTTGTATGTTGTTGATTTACCAAATACTATTGGGTCTTCATTATTTATGCTAAAAAGCAGTTTTACATTGATTCATAATATATCTTTTGATGAGTGTACTTTGGATATTGTAGGCACTTATTCTTATAAATTTACTTTTGGGTATATACAAGGAGCTAAAAAGCAGTATTACATTGATTTGCAACATATTTTTTGATGAGTGTACTTTAGATATTGTAAGCACTTATTCTTATACATTTACTTTTGGGTATTAACAAACGCGTACTCGCCATCTTAATTGGATTTTTTGCCAGAACAATCTGCTTTCCTGTCGTTTAAGATGAAAATCTCATCCTCTGAATGTCACAAACCTACTTCATAATTTAATCCTAGAATATAATTTTCTCCTCTGTGTATTGTAACTGTACAACCATGTATGATGGAATTGATATTCAAGTATTTATCTCTAGATTGAAAAGTTAATGTATATGGTAAAATAATTGTAGGAATTATTTTTCTCAGTTTCGTTTTACGTTTCATCAGTCAAACAATTTTTTTTTATCTCTGTGAGTTAATCAAATATTGTAATATGTAGGAAATATTATTTGTTTAATCTACCAAACAGACACTTGAATTATTTATTTGCCAGACGCAGAGCTATCAGGTAGTATTAGTCAAAATATAATACTTCGCTACAAGATCAATAAAAAAGGGTTTAGGCATAATGCCAGCAAGAGGAAAGATGAGATCTTTGCAGGAATAAATGATGCAATATTGACCCAAGAGTTCCACAGAAAGATTAAAAGAATATCATTCTGATATTTGGGTAGACAATTACAAAAGGGTTTCTGTGTAAGTATGTGTATCAATATCTTCAATATTAAAATTTTTTGTCTGATTGTGAAAAATGAATTATATTTTTGAAACCATCTGTCAGTGTGATTTTGTTATGATTAATCAGTGAATGAACTGGGTTGTGGGAGATAAATGACTTGTCTCTGTAGTTGCTAGTTTGTAACTAGTTTATATAATATAGCTGATAGCGGCATTATTTACCAGTCTACAGGGAACCACTGATTATTTGTCATAACTGTCACTTTATCATTCTTAAGCTGATAAAAAATTAAATGTGTTTTTATTTAGAACAAGATCATTCTAGACATTTTGCTACTAAAAAGGTCATGGACAAATTTTTTTGCATCGGCAGGTGTTGATTTGAGTTTTACAAATAAATTTAAGACATCCAGCTTAAGGATCCCCCCTTTTTAAAACCAGCTCAACATGATTGTCTGAATGGCAGGGCAGGAGAGTACAGCATTCACATGGATTGTAAGCAAAGTCGGCCTGCTCTGAGAGCAATGGCCAAGGGTTATGACTTATTATGTATATCTATACTAGAAACCTCAAATTTGCATTAAAACAGATGAGTCGTGCATGCCCTAAGCATCTTGAAGCCAGTCATTTTAAGCTAACACATTCAGAAAACCAAGAACCCTTCTTGAAAACAGCTACAGAACTGGTGTTTTAAACTGTTTTATTTGCATCTCCTTTGTGTTCTATGACAAAGTTTAATGATAACCACTTATACCTGCATTTGAATTGCATATTAAATTAACATGTATGTCTTTGGGTGGTGTTACAGTTAAGCAATGTTCCTGCAATTACAGATATTATGTTCATTTGAGTGAACATTTGACTAATGACAGATCTAAACTTTCTTTCCAGTTTTATATGCCCTTACTTTCAATCTGATTAAAATACAGATCTATATTTCGTTTCGTTTTTTTATACTTTCGATGGCCTACAGTACACTACATGAAGATCTGACAAGTTATAGCGATAGGTCACTTTTGACCTATGACATCAGACATTTGATTAACCAATCAGCATTGATGTTACTAGTGGATTACCCACAGTTCCGGGCAAAAAAGGTCAAACACTCGATTCGACAGACCATTTGATTGGCTGACCCCTCATTTCAAGCAGAACACAAGTTAAATAACAAGTCTTCCAGATCCAAGTGTAGTAAAGAGAAGTAAAACAAAATTTTGAACTATAAAAACGAAACGAAATAGGATCTGTGTTTTAACCAGATTGCCCTTACTTTATAAAGGGTGCACGTTATCGTTAATGGCCACAAACTTATTTCTTCCCTTAATAGCGAGAAGACAGACAGAAATATTACTGTATAATTTCCAGTCATGTGCAAGAGGTGTTAATAAAGGAAATATAATTAATTGGCTAGACAGACAGGGTCTTGAGAAGCAATTTGTCCTTACCCACTAAACGATGCCTTGAGGAATTAAGTAATAGTATTCAATGGACATATTTCAAGGGTGAGAACGTCCAGTCCAATATGTTGGATTTACATTCAACATTTTATGGTCGCACTCAGTTTTATTTAAGAGAGAATCATCGAAGAATCATGGTGAATATATTGTCTCCTTTAGACAAATTTATCTCCTGTTTTATTGGAAACTTTAGAAGCAAACTTCAAAGAAAATTAGAGATGGCAATTACAACAGAAAGTGAACAATGTGATCAAATCCATAGAGCAGATCAGTATATCCAGCCAGCAAAATCTTTAATCAATAAAGTCAATTCCTTTTCTCTTCTTTTATATGAGAAGAAAAAAATGGAAATCAGAATTGGTTTTATAGCCTTATTAACCATGATTTGTTTCTTCTTTAAGCTGCTGTCAATGAGGGTGTGGGAAAAAACTGAAAGTACAGGTATTTTTTACTTGATTCTGTTTTAAAGATTTTATAGTTTGAAACTCTTTAGCGTTCATTAAGGGTTATATGTCTAATTCAGCCTTATCTGAGCCAAGAATTTTGTAAGAATAGCTCTCAATATCCACATTACTTTTATGCTGTGATTCTTTTTGGTAGAGATTTTCAACAGTAGAAAATAATTTAGCACACTGACACCTATTATGTGAAGTCTCTCTCTAAAAAGTATTTACTTAACACTAATGAGTTTCTCAATTATATCAAAATCGATTCATATAGTCCAGTAATAGAGATATTATGTGATATCAAAATGTGCAATGGTGGGTAGACAGAAGACAGTCTATAATAACTCCCCAGGGCAACTAAACTCGCTTGTTTGCTTTAAGTAAAGGCTTTAACCTATCTATGAAGCATCCACTCTCAGACAATCTAACATTAATACAGTCCTGTACAAGATAAGATGTTAGGGTAGGTGGAGAAAAATAAAGATTCACATATGAAGAGGCTCAGATGGATACAAGATTCGTAGCAGACGTTTTATCAAGAAACATTATTTTTCTACCAAATTCTAGACCTCCCAGCTAATATTGTCACCTGCATGTCATAAATAAATACAAGATGCACATCCTGTTAAACAGCGATAAATCGTTTACATCTGTACCTAATATTCAGTTCCGTTTCTCCTTTCTAATTACAATTAATCACAGATTGTCGGAATGTCAGATTCATTCAAGAGGAGAAGTCATGAGATTAGAGCAATAACCATCAAGTGATCTGTACTCTATGTATCAATAAACAATATAATTAGGGACAAGTGTATTTTATAAAGGGGTTGATTAAGTCAATTCAAACCCAATTATGATCCTTAAATGCACCACTTGAAGAATCTCAGCCACATCACTATCCTTGTGGATTATTTATTTATCCTCTTGCACTTGTATTTATTTTCATTTATTCAGGTACCATTACATTCTAAACCAAAATCTTATGTGTTTTAGGGGGGATGGGTGGCCAAATGGTTAGCATGTGCGCACTGTATCATAAGGTTTGTCATTGACATTGAGTCAACTGGTTTCGATTCCCCAGTTGTACATGACAAGGATAGGGTCGTCTGTCCAACCTCATGGATTTTCTCTGGGTCCTCCGGTTTCCTCCTACTGCTAAAGACCCCTATGTGCAAGCGAATTATTGAAATAAAATTGAACCATGTATTAGTCCCGAAATGCCCTAGTTTGTGTCGAGTGGACGTTAAACCCCACTTTTCTCTCTCTTACGTGTTTTGCAGTAGGACTATTCCCTTAATGGATCAGTTTCTGAAAGTGAACCAATATATACAGCTCATTTTATTCATTACTTGTATTTTGAAGTTTTGTATAAAAGTTTACAAAGGAAGAATTATATACTGGCCGTCAGATTAATCTGTGTTCCCCTCCACTGGAAAACACTTTATAAAATTAAAATGGAGCCCTGAAGAGCGAAGAAAATCTGACTATAGGATTAGAGCGCTGTCCTGTATAAAACATTTAATTTGAAAGATGTTTTTTCTCCTGTAAATGTCTCCTTCCTGGTTGAATAAACACAAATCAATATCACTTTGTGTTTTTGTCTTATCTAACAAATATATAACTTTTTGCCACTTGTATCTATAATTGTTATTGAATGATGATCCT